TTCATGAGAATAAGTGGTTTGTTAGGCCTTGTCTACACTGCAGAGTTTTGTCACTAAAAGGCAGCTTTTGGTGACAAAACAATGGAGGTGTACACACTACAATGCCACTTTTGGCAACAAAACTCTTCAGTTTCAATGACAAAATAAAACCACCTGGACAAGAGGCATAAAGCTTTTTGTGGCAAAGTTAAAATGACAAAGTGTCCGTGTAGACACTACTGTTCATTATATTGCCAGAACTGGCCTCCCCAGTATCCCACAATTCCTACCGTGACTGCTCTGCTCAGTTGTGAACTCAGCAGCCTTGCAGGCATGCACCCCTCCCCTTTCAAAGCTCTGTTCTGACAGCTGAGCATGCTACTCTGCTCCAGGCATCAATGAGCAAACCATTATTCCTGCTCTCTCCCACAGGTAGGGGTGTGTGTGAGTGAGTGAGAGAGAGAGACAGAGCGAGAGAGAAAGACTGCTGTGCCGTGCAGAGCTAGGGAGGGAGGCGGGGGCTGATGTTGGGGGTGTCCCCCTCCCCCACCTCAGGACTGGTTGCTTCCAATGGCTGTCTAAACTTTTGAGACAGCATGCTGACACACTCACTCTCCTCCCACACACACTCTGTCTCTGTCTCTCCTGCCCCCAGACACTCCCTGTCACACCCTCCCTCCCCACTTCAGTTGAAAAGCATCTGGCAGTCAATTAGGATGTTCATGGAATGATGGGATTGAAAAACCTGCATCATGTGACGCTGTACCTGCCCAATAGGGCATTGCAAACCATTCCCAAAGCTCCCTGTGGCCAGTTGCACAGTGGGATAGCTACCCACTGTGCACTGCTCGCTGTGTCAGTGCGAAGAGCTGTTAGTATGGATGGGCTCCAGTGACACAAGGAGCATAGTGTGGACATGCAACAGCAATTTAATTACAGCAGCATAACTTTTGGCGACAAAACTCTGCAGTTTAGACATAGCCTTAGCTGCTCCTAACAAGGTGATGTATTGTTGGATGTCTCAACAGACAGGCTAACATATATGTGAACTGACATGTGGAGAGAACTGCTCTCGCCGCTAGATGTGATCCCTCTAGGCTGGGATTCATGCATGCTGGTGGGGAAGCTTGTACTGCTGTTGCCTTTGCTATCCTTGTTCTGTTGATAAACTGAGAACTTCAGTCTACACAACTGCATAAGTTTAGCCCCTTTCATGAGTACTATATTAATTGAAACTTTGCGGGGGAAGAGATTTATTCTCACTTAATTCATATGAGGGTAATGGGCATAATTATGTTAACAGAAGAATGGAAAGAATCGGAAAGAAATTTTTCCATCTCTTTCTCTGAACTTTAATAAGAGGTACTGGTGAACTGTTATGACATCCATTTCCATATCTTGGCAGAGAAAATTAAAAGTGTAATTGGTTTTATTTATTATTTGAAGTATTTCTTGTCTTTATAACCTTGTCATTGTTAAGAAGCATCCTTCCAGAGTGCTGGTATGCAAAACACTGAAATGGCATCACCATTTCTCCTCTATTGTTCATGTAGATGATGTTCTACAAAGACCATAAGGTCTCTTCCCACCCCAATCCCCATTAAATCAACTGGTGATCCAGAGACTTGGGGAAATGCCATTACAATCCAGTGATATAAAAAAAATTACAAGGCCAGAAAAGTCAAAATGATCACTCCATTATATGATTAGGAAAGGGAAGTGAATAGTAGATAAGAACTAATCCACCTGATCTGGGATTGTGAGCCACCTAATGTGAGAAATTATCTCAACTTTGTAAGGAATGTTATGGGTGGCAACTTATCATTGTGCAGCAAATAATTGCTTCCACTGTGAAAGTGGTGAAATTTTCCCTGGGTTAAATTCAAGATTTTGCTCAAGCAGTGAGTTTTTGCCATGGCAGCCATATTCATTTTCATTGTGATCCTGTCAATTTGAAGGAAGATCAGCCTGGGAGGTCCTTGGGTGAGAAACTTTTAAAGGACACCTAGTTGCAGAATAAAGTGGTGATATTGATTCAGTAGGTGGCATTAATGTCAATCAGTAGTGAATCAGTGTTCCTGTGTCTTGCTGAGGACAGTACTGCTGGAGGAGCTGTAAAACGAAGGTTGTAACTAGTTGTAATAATTAAAGATTGTATGGTCTTTTTTCTATTTATTTTAGAATAGGGGTTTTGACCTTGGTGTGCTGGCTGAATTTCAGTTTGGGTAATTTATATTCTGCCTTCTGCATCTAGTTTCAATTGGGCAAGGTATTCTTCTCTTCCCAGTCTAAACTATGATGTGCTACTTCTGTAGTGCTGCTTAGCAGTTGTCACAGGTCATTCCAGAAATGGCTACATTTCACTGGTAGATGAATATATCCCTGCTTACATTGGCTGTATATCAGTTTAAGTCCGCAAAATTCTTCGGGATCCTTTGGGGCAAAAGGCCATGTAATGTAAGGTCATTATCACTTGTGCTGAGAGCTATGTTTGCTGCCAAAAAAGATAAAATCTCCTGTCTCTTCTTGAAAATATATAGCTAGTATCTGCATAAAAATAATGCAAGTACAAAGCAAAATGGAATTTACTGGTAATATCAATGCTGTTTTGGCACTGCCTGCTCCTGATGGAGGCAATGTTAAGCCTATTCCTTTTCACCTTCTTCCTCTGTATTCTCCAAAGTCCATAGCTATAATCATGGGGTGTACTTGGCAGCTGACTGTAGGACCTGGAATGTGTTTTTTCCAGCAGCCGCCTCTGGATTTGTGGTTGACTTCTTTGGCTGACGCTACTCCTGGCTTTGCTGGCAGACAAATCTTCTCAGAGGTTGTCTTGGGTTCACATTGCTGTCCGCTTGCTTTGTATGCTGGCCCCCAATGCCATTTGCCTAGGGTCACTCCTGTTTATGAAGGCCATGTTTGTGGACATGTAGTAAGAAAACATATGACCTGATACAGATTATTCCACCATTCCTATTTTTGCTTCTTGAAAACATTTTCCTACGAACCAAGAGTACATGTGCACAGATTTACTTGGAAAAATAACTTTGATTGTAAACTTGCTTTCATCGGGTTCATTTCTTAGTAAAGAAGCTTGGCTGTGGAGCTTTTGTGGGGCATGCCTTAACGTAACTTGTGTTGTGGCCAATCCTGATTTTAATTACAAAAATTGCGCTGTAGTGTGGCCTTTCACTTCAGAGATAGGTACACCCAAAGCTAGCAATTCTTGTTGCTCACAGTGTTGATATGAGGACTCAACTATGCATGCTCAGAGAGAATGCTGATATCTCTCATGGACTCTCATTTTGCTGGCTAAGAGCTACCCTAAAGACGGAATCATACAGGCTGCTGGGATATTGCTTCGTATGTTGTACTAACAGAAATAGGTACTTGATCCTGATGAAAGCTGTCCAAATTTTTTTCACTTTCTCAAAATTGTAATGAAAAGTTTTTCAATGGAAAATTTTCTTCTTTCAATTTTTGGGTCCCCTTTTTCTTCTTCCTTCCCTACCCTTTTTTCTATTTCCTCCACTTTTCCCCTTTTCCATGTTGCCACTTGTAAGGGACTACGGAAGATTTTGTTATGGCCTAGCTAGGGAAATTCCACTTTCCCAAGGCCGCCCGGTCACTGTAGGACATGGGGAACCAACTCTAACTGGTTTTGGCCGGTTCCCTCTGCCCTGTGCAGGTAGCGGAAAGTCCCTGTTGGGAAGTACCTTATTATATATTCATGAGCTGATTTTGTGTACTGCTTATTAGGGCTCTCTGTTTACCCCTTCGTCGGACTCTGTCCCAGGCAAAGCTCTGGTGTGCTGGGTTCTCCGCCTCCGTGACAGCAATGCTTGGAGTCCCCGTTGTGGGTGTGTCACTAACCTTCAATAAAGCCAATAACTCGCTGCTTAGCTGCGTGTGGGTCTCATTTTCCAGAGTACCTCTGCTGGCCTGCGGTGCTTCAAACACCTTGGCCCAGAACACCACTGAAAAAGGAGGAAAAGAAAATGTGGGGCAAGGGGAGAAGAGAGAAGAGGAAAACCCCCAAAATTTCAGGTTGGTGGCTGAAAAACTGCACAATTTTGAAAAACTAAGTTTCCACCAGAAATCTCATTTTGAAAAAATGCCCTTTTTCTTTTGGGGGGAAAATGTTTTTGAATGAAAAACGTTGATTGGCTCTAATCCTTAGAGGTGCACTCATGGGGGATCATTTTCTTCTGCACATGTTAGGATTATATTTAGGAGGCAGTTTCCCTTTTTATATAGGATACCTATGTAAACACTTTGTGACTTGGCACTATATTCCTTACGAAGGGGTGGAGGCTCACTACGGGGTCCCCATTATGAACCCCTTATTTGCACTGGCAAGCTGTTACTTACTCTAGTGGTGCTGTTAAAGTCAATGCTCCTATGTCTTATAAATGACTGACCATGATTATAGTTAAATCAGAGACCAGATATCTACATGGAATACTTTTGTTGAGGGAAGTACTCCCAGGAGTCCATCTTCAGTTCATCTTTCTTTCACACCTTCGAATTAAGCTCTAAAACACAGAACCAAGATTAAAGGGGAATTAGTACATGATATCCCCACTTCTTTTGCAGCAAATCATGTTAAGTTCCTTTTTTGAAAAATAAACGGAAGTTCCAGTTTTTAACATGGAACAATCTTTGCTTTCCTATTACTGTAAATCCTTATGTAAGAAAAGTAGCAAAGGAGAGGTACAAAATCATGTTTATTGAAGCTATAATACAGACTGAGAATCTTGGACCTCTTGATTTAAAATACAACGATAGATGTTTTCAAACAGAGACATGAGAATGACATGGTGGAGGATAGTAATTTTTCCTGTACACTAATTCAGTGTTTTGGGGATATACCTATTTAGTGTGCTTCCCAATTCAAGTGAGATAAGTTGGGTGAGGTAATATCTTTTGTTGGACCAACTTCTGTTCGTGAAAGAGTCAAGCTTTCAGAGCTCTTCTTCAAGACTGGGAAAGGTACTCAAGAGTGTCACTGCTAAATACAGGTTTCAGAGGAACAGCCGTGTTAGTCTGTATTCGCAAAAAGAAAAGGAGGACTTGTGGCACCTTAGAGACTAACCAATTTATTTGAGCATGAGCTTTCGTGAGCTACAGCTCACTTCATCAGATGCATACCGTGGAAACTGCAGCAGACTTTATATATACACAGAGAGAGAGACTTTATATATACACAGTTTGGAACAGATTGTTAAGAAAAGGCGTTACTGCATGTTGCCAGAGACCATTCGAGGCAGTGAACACTTCGCAATCATAGGATAAAGGAGGGTTGTTGGGTTACAGATTGTTGTAAGAGCCATACAGCCAGTGTCTCAGTCAATGACTTTTAGGGTATGTCTACACTACCTGCGTTACAGCACGGCTGCGGTAGCGTGGCTGCGGGCAGCGTAGATACGCTTTATCGCTGGGGGAGATCTCTCCTGGTGATTAAAAAAACCACCCCGAACGAGCGGTGGTGGCTTTATCTCTGGGAGTGCGGCTCCCAGCGATAAAGCGCTGTCTACACTGGCGCTTTTCAGTGCTAAAACTTTTGTCGCTCAGGGGGGTGTTTTTTCACACCCCTGAATGATAAGTTTTAGCGCTGACAGTGGCAGTGTAGACACAGCCTTAGTGTCTAGCAAAGTTACGAATTTAAGCTCCCAGGCTTGTCTTTTGAATGTGTTATGCAGGTTTCCTTTGAGGGGGTAGGAAGAGGCAGGGACATGGGTGGGGGTTTGGGAGAAGGGGTGGAGTGGGGTGGGGCCTGGAGCGGAGCGAAGGTTGAGCATTCCCGAGGCAAGGAGGAAGCCGGTGCCTGTGCCTGGTGGTGAGAATGGTGTTCTGAGGGAGGTTGTTAATGTTAAGGAATTTCTGGAGGAAGTTGATTCTGTCTTGGATGAAACTGGTCCTAAGTATAATAAGTGGTTTTAGGATGGTTTATATGAGTCACGATATTCCTTCACTAAGAATGCTGTGGCCAGATATGATGGATCTGCCTGGGTTCCCTTGTTTGTGTGTCTTGGAAAGCATTTAGAAGGGCTCTGGGTTCGGTTCATAGAGAATGAAGTTGAATGAAGAATGAAGTTGTAGCGATTCTCCTGGCGTTGTTTGGGGAAGTATTTAATGATTGTGACATTCTTCAGGGTACAGTCTGGACTGTTGAACATCTGTGTTCCCTCAATTCTCCAATTGGGGAGCTGTTTACTCTCCTTTGCTGTGAGAGCAGCCTGGGGTGAAAGTAATTTAAAGGATTTACCTGTATGCTGGAGTCCTGAGCAGGGGGACAGGGTCTCAACTGGAAGAGGCGGGGCCTTTACATCCCTGGGCCCTTTAAATCAAGATATAAAGGGCCCGGGGCTCCTGCCTCTTCCTGCCCCTGCTATGCCCTAGGCCCCACCCCCACTCCACTCCTTCCCCCAAGCCCCACCCCTGCCCCACCTCTTCCTGCCTCTGCTCCACCCACACCCTGCTTCTTCAATCCCAGTTCCACCCCTCCCCTGGGCACGCCCTCCCCCTGCTCCTCCCCCACCTCCCAGTGCCTTCCGCACACCGCAGAACAGCTGATTGTGGCGGGTGGGAGGCACTGGAAGGGAGGGGGAGGAGTTGATCAGTGCGTGGGAGGTGCTGGGGAAGGAAGGAGAGGAGATGACTGCTGGTGGGTGCTAAGCACCCACTAATTTTTTTCCATGGGTGCTCCAGGGCTGGAGTACCCATGGAGTTGGCGCCTATGCCACCATGGATGTCATCTCCTTATACGGCAACATCCTTCACCATGATGTCATCACTGCCTGTCTCAAATATCTACAAGACAATGGACAACACTCAGGTAGCCGCCCAAATGAATCACCAAATGCATCTATTTCATTCTCACCCATAGCAATTTTGCATTCAGCAACAAATGCTTTGTCCAAACCATAGGAACAGCCATGAGTACTAGGATGGCCACCTCTGGAGCAGCCGCTCCTGGCCTGTTCGCACACAGCCTCTAGCATGCAAAAGCACTAAACAAGTAGAGTAAATGGGCATAAACAATGCATGAAATAGGTTGAGGTGATATTTTTTTAAAATAATTCATCATGAATCTCTTTGGGAAGACATTTAGTGTAAATATTGTCCTCTTAATGCCTTATTATGCCCCAGCTCACTACATATTCATGATACAGAGAAAAGTGAGCCCTTAGTGCTGAGAAAATTCACTTTCTTAAAATGTATTTGCTTTACAAAAAATATGAAAACCTCTTTAAGACACAAAGCACTGTGAATTTGAAGTGTGAATGTAAAACAAACAAAAAATCAAGCCTGAACACAAAATTATTATTATAAATCAATAGCATTTACCAACTGGACTAAAATCCAAAACTTCATGCTCCAGCCAAACCACTCTTGCACAACTCACTCCCATTCACTGTGTCTTACCCCCCTATTTGCGGGAGAAATGGATATTGATTCCCAATGTGACCTTAAAGTCAATAAATTCAGACTCTGATGAGCAAAGTATGGAAGCAAATTTCAGAGTTGTGGGTTTCTCGCTGAAAATGTTCTGCCTCCAGTGCTCTCCCTTTCTGTTTAAACTGGTAGATGTTAGCTTGTGCACCTCATCTGATTTCAACTGTTATAGCACTATATAAGAAGAGGTCTTAGGGGAACTGAGCACCCAAACCATTTAGGGCATTAGCTGCTTAGTTAGAAAAATCATATTTCTTAAAAACATTTCCCAAGAAAAAATATTGGGAAAAATAGTTTGCACACTCCAAGTTTTGTGACATCCCAAACTTTCCAAAGGTATTTGACACTTTGCCAAACCCATGATACCACTGGAATCTCCCGTCCCCAGTACAATAAATATTCAATGGTAAGAAAAAGAGACAGTTCAAACATCTAGTTTTAATGGATTTAGAGCTTGATCACTTTTTTTCTAGAAGACATACCCAAATCTAAGGCACTGTACCATATATATCAACAACATTGTTAGCATTAAACATATAACAATAACACATTCTATACATATTTTGCAGGGGTTCTTTTCTACACTCCAAGTATTCTTATATAAAACTTTTGTTTAATGATTGACTCTAGGTATTAACACTAAGCAAAATTCTGTCCTCAGAGGTGCATTGAACCCAGTGGGTTTGTACATAGATATAACTGTGGGCAGAACCTGGTCCAGTAATTTTACTCCTGTCTGCACTGGTTTTATAGCTTATTTAAATAACGTAACAGGTTAGTGCCACCACATTCCAAGAGAGAGCAAAGGCACTAATACCTAACCATGTTTTCCAAGCGTTTATTCTTCTCATGTTCTGACTTGTACGCTGCTTCTAATTACTGAGCAGTGATTCATTACAGACTATCAAAGCTCTGGGATCAGTCCAGGCATAAGCAGACATTTAGGCTGTGATGTGAACTTCTGGTAGTCTGTCCTTTGAAAGTTCTCACTGATCAAAGAATAACACGTTTCTGCTATATTCTAAGTTCTATGGCAATTTAGTGGAGCCTTAATTTTGATAGGAAATAGAATGAAATCAGACAGGAATTCTAGGGATTACCGTTAGTTTCTGTGCTAATATTAAACTGGGGCAGAGGGAGGAAGGAAAGGTGGCTGAAAAGCTGGCACAGAGATTTACTTACAAGCACCTCAGGGATGAATCATGGTGCCTATGGAGGGGAGGCAGCATTTCTGTCATTGCCTGGATAGGTTTTCCGTCAGGAGAAGCTTCACTCACAAGAAATGGTCTAGACCGCTATTGAGCTCAGTGGGAGCTGCAGGAGCTCTATATCTATCTATCCACATCAGGCTACTTATTCAGGTGTCTGATTTACCTCAGCTTTAATTGAAATAAAAAATCTAAATACACGATTTAACCTGAATATAGCAAACTGACCAAAACACATAAACAATTTTACCACTCAGATCTGAAAGGTAGACGAACCCTTTAATATTAAAGACAAACCTCTAGAGTAAATAATAAATTCAGGGTTTTGTATGATGCTAAAATATAGGAAAGCAATGACGGAAAAGAATTAATAGGTTCTCTAGTGAACCCCTCTGCCAGTGCAGGCTGCTTTTGTATGCCTTGATGAAAGGGGCTTCCAATGGAAGATTTTTCGGTAATTTAATAGACCGAGGGCCTGATTCCCAATGAAGCCAATGGAAAGATTCCTGTTGACTATACTAGCTGTTTGATTAAGCCCCAAAGTGAAGACTGCTGTTAAATAAGACCTTGGTATGCTTAAATGCCCACACTCTCCGGCCTGGCTGAGCTGTGCTCAATGTAGGATCAGGAGAGGAAAAATGGCTTCACAACTCCTTTGAATTCCTCCCATTCCAGGGACCTTCAGGCTGCTGTACCTTAATCCTGGCTATGCACGGCCCCAAGGGTGCATTGTGGTGGCCAGGGCCAACACAGCACTGGGGCACTCTGGCCACATGCACAGTGGCTGAGAGAGGGAGTGTGACCTTAAGATACTATGACTGCTTTAACTATCCAGGATTCCCCGTTGTTGGGAGAATTCTCAGCAGACCAGATCTGCTGGGTTTCTGGGTGCTTTGCACTGCTGAAGTAGCAAAAAGCAGTTGGAGTAGACCTGAGACTCAGGCTCCAAATCTCATGTAATATATTATTATTTTATTTTGGACTAGGAGAGCAAATGGCAACACTTGAAATTGTCTTTCATTACACATGTTAAAATGTCACTGAATATTAATTACCAACAGATTTTTAAAGGCATATTTATTGATGTTGACCAGCTACAACCAAGAGTTGTATCTGTTATAAAATGGTTAATTCTCAGTGAGTATATTTCTTGCAATTGTTCTGTAGTAATTTTACACTAATTATGTTTAGATTTAGTAGAATAACTCATAAAATATCAAATGATTATTTAAAACAATATTCTAAATGTAAACTATGTAAGATATTCTTACAGAAATAAGTATTCAATAATCAAATGGTATTTTAAAAAATACAATTAGAATCTTATTAAATCTAAATTTAAAGTTTATATAAAAATAATTTAAAACTAGAT